CTTTCTGTGGCCTACAGCTCGACATTTAGATATATCGACGACGTATTATTAATTAGCAATAGTTACTTCCATTCATATGCCGACTCGATATATTTCAGTGAACTTGAAATAAAAGATATCACAGAGTCTGCCACATCTGCTTCATATATGGATATTTTACTAGAAAAAGATGGTAACCTAACAAGAAAGATTAACGTGATGACTTCATTTTTTCTAATGTCAACTTCCCTTACTTAAGTAGCAATATACCCTTATCACCTGCATATGGGGTTGATTCGATATGCAAGAGCATGCTCTACGTACAAAGAGTTTCTTAAATGAGGCAAGCTATTGAAAAACAAGTTGATGAAACAAGAATATTAACAGTCTCGTTTAAAGTCATCATTTAGCAAGTTCTATGGTCCATACAATGACTTTGTCAGCAAATACAATTTATCATTAAAACGTTTTTCGTACTAATCATTAGGCTATTATTTTCACATTGAATTGTCTACGGATTGTTCCGGTAGGAAGGGAATAATTACTCCTCCGTGGCACCTGATCCCCAACTCTGATGTTTTTTAGGGGTTCGTGTTTGCTCTGCTCCCGATTTGTATTGTTTCAATGGACTTCTGAGCAATAACTGTTCGTCATCTCCATATTTCATATAATATATATTTGCTAGGGCTATTACATTAGCTTTTTTTTTTTTACTGGAAAACGCTCTTATCTACAGAGTGAGAAGGAAAACTTCAATGAATGCAACGATACGATATAAACTAAAGTGTATTACCGTAGAAACAATCAACTCGCGCTGATTTTTTTTAATTAATAGTAAGCGACATGATTTTGTAAAAATAATAATGATAATAATTTTAAAAAAAAAAATAAAATTGAATAAATAAATAAAATAAAAAAAAAAAACATCCTGCGATATAAAGTTTTTTCCGTGGTTGGCGTAACGAAGAATTTTGCCTTGGGTTGAAAATGGACAAGTCCTGGGATCCTTTTTTTTTTCAACGTTGGCTATCACACCGGGGGTGGCTTTTCAACGTTGAAAATTGAGACCAAAAGTCGTGAAATTTATATCAAGGGTCATTTTTCAATAGCTTGGTTTTTTTTCTCGGCACATATGACATCAACGCGTTGAAAATTGACCCTTTTGAATATTGACCCCTACATATACAGCGTTTTACCTTATGTTCGATCTGGAAGTTGTTATACATGATTTTATATACATGTATCTACTAAGATATCTATCGTGATCAGAATTTTAATTTCTTCTAGAATATTTAGTTCGGATTGAAATCAGCAAACTAATAGCATCCCATACATATTTGTAAGTTAATTGTTGTTCAGTACACGGTATTTCTTATTTCGTGGTTATTTATGACAAAAGTTATCAAAGATGAACTAATAGAATTGTCATGTTCTAAATTTTGAATGTAGACACTCTACTGGGTGGAAGTAAATACAAAATTTAAAACATGACACATGTTCTGAATTTTGTATTTACTCCCACCCAGTAAATTCAAAATTTAGAACATGACAGAATAACCATCTACAAGAGCCCTTTGATTGCCCCCCCCCCCTCCCCTTTCAGATGTCTATCATGATGTACAGTTATTGTGCCTAGGAAAGTTTTGTATTGGTTTAGTTTTTTTTTTTATTTTAGACTTTTGCATTGGGAGGAAATTCGGAAGATATTTTTTTCTGCATCTTCTTATACAGCTGTATATACATACCGGCGACAAAAAAGAGCAAAATTATACAACAAAAATAACCAGGTTTACCTGTAGGTATATGGCACTAATATTCTAATCAATGGATTGCAAAATAAAGCTATTGACAAATAAGTTGATGATTCAAGGACATCAACATTCTCGTTTAAAGTCAACATTTTGCAAATTCTATATTCGATACAGTGACCTTGGTAGCAAATACAATCTATCGTTAAGTTAAATGTTGACTGACGTTTTCCATAAAATTTGTTAGGTCATTATTTTCACACTGAATTGTGAGTATGAATAGTCAACGGGAATAATTACTCCTCCATGGCACCTGATCCCACCTTTGATGTTTTTAAAAGGTCCGTTTTTGCATTGCTCCCAACTTATACTGTTCCAATGTACTTTACAGCTTGAATTTACTGTTCGTTATCTTCATATTTCTTCTGTAAAACATCAGAATTCATATCAGTACATCCAGCTTATACTTTCAGTTAACTGTCTAATGAGGAAATTCTGCAAAATCACGTGATAGTCCCTGCTCTGAAGGAGATACTATAGACGTACATGTACTGTGCTACATATTCAAGAAGTAGTGTCAAATTATTGTTTTTTTTTTTTGTTTTTTTTTTTTTTGTTTTTTTTTTTTGTAATTTTACAAAGAAATGTTAAATTGTGTGTCGAATCACTGTGAGATATAATCCCCATATAAGTGATAATGGTATATTGTTTCATAAATAAGGAATGTTGAAGATAGAAAAACTGAAGTCATCCCGTTTATCATAAATTTAAGTTGTTGGTTTGCTTTCAATGTATTTCTCAGGTAAAAAATTCAGATATGAAGCGAATGTGCAAGACTCCGTAGTATCTCTTTTATTTCGAGTTCAATTAGATATATCGAAACATTTTATGAATGAAAATCAGTGTTTTTTGAATAAATTCTTCTTTTGAATTAATTCTTCATACATGAGAATACAAAAACAAGTCTGCTAATAATGGGATACGTGATTGCATTTTACAGTGTATTTAAACATTCTTTGCATAGTTTAGAAAGGAAATACATGTATAATAATGTGCACTTTAGAACATTCGATACCTCCCTTCTTAGAGTGCTTCATGTTTGGTGCAAATTTTCCATTTTGAATTAAAAATATTTCAGTAGGCCCATGCATGTTAATAAAGAATACAAATAAATCTAGTGAACAGCTCCGTGGGAATTAAATTCATTTGGGGGGGGGGGGGGGGCAACAGAAATTCATTGACAGAGACAAAACAAAAAGGATCATCACACGTTCTTTATAAAGAAACATAACTGTAAATTAGCTTTGTTTCCTATTGTATATAGTATATAATGGTATATATATTAAGGGAAACAGTCAACCAAGTCCCCCTTCCCCCACCTGGTTCCAAAGAACCTGCTGAAATATTTATCCAAATAAATATAGGTGTAATTTTTTAAAAATGAATAAATCATTATTTACAATGTTGAATTTTTACCCGGTTTATTGATAAAAAAATTCAACGATGCAACTCAATTTTAGGGTCCTAATTCAACACTGTTGGTCTTAGTATTCAAGTTGGAATATGACTCCCGGGTCAGTTTTCAACCAAGGTTAAAATTCTTTGTTATCGGAAAGGTCCGAGAAGATGCAATTGCTACAAAACAGTACTTGAATGCTTTTTAGTTCTACCGAACTCTTAAAATTATTGTATTTTCCACCTCAACATTGAAATTACAGTGAACGACAGATTACTTAAAGCACAACGATGTCATTGCCGATATGAGGCGGTACTACTCTCCTTACCAAGTTACAAGAAGAAGAAAAAAACATTCACTTTCAATAATCATACACTCAGGGGTAACCCTTGTATGTAAAGATAGATTCTAAGCTTAATTATGCACAATAATTTGAATCCAACTTGAAATTTAAACACATAAAAAAGAAGTACATCCATTGTCCGAAACCTAATTCCGGAGAAATGACATTTACCAGATAAATGTTTTACAAATATTTAGAGGATATGATTTTTTTTTAACACGTAAACAATCAACATATGATGAAATTCATTTAGAGGCGAAGAGGTGATCTTGTAATCCAATAATTGTAATTTTTTCCTTCTCGTTATTTCATTATTATTTATGTACGTACACATTGTTCTCCTGTAAATCATCCACTTCTGTACTGTATCTGATTGTATATTGAATTATATTGTATAAACTGATACGCTGTAAAGCTTAAAGTAACAATAAAGAAAGATCAACCCCCGGGGACTGAACATTTAAATAAGAGTAGATAAATAATATTATTTCAGTTTTTTACATGGCTTATGATATGTTATTATAAAATAAAGATAACATAATTTAAAAACATGAATCTTTTTTCCTTTGAAGATGCTCTAAGGTTTCTTTTTTAATTTAAAAAAAAATGTCCGAAATATTTCTAAATTAAGCAGTCTGAGAGATGTCTTAAAATGACACATTGATAAGAAATTTCAAAATTAATGTTGATCTAATCAAAGTATGCAATAAAATAGCCTTCTCCCACTCCATTAAAACTAAACAAGCCTTCGCCAAACATTTCACAGATTTCTCAAACTAAATAGGGTAAGACCTTTATTTTGCAGAATACAATGTATTACCAAATCAACAAAAAACACAAACCTTAGCATTTTCAATACTTTTGTGAAAAAAATTGTACTCAATCAGATAACTTTAATATACAGACTATCATATTGTATCGGAACCTCTCGTGATAGATGTTTTTTTTTAAATAAACACAAGTCTTAAATAAATGTCAGAGAAGAACGCCCGGAAATGTCATTACCGAGATATTTTCACCACAACACTTCACGTACAGAGCTTTTAATCTTACAAAAAGATAGTAATCAATTGATTCCATGTCCTAATTAAATAAATAAATCAATTAAATGGGTTGATTTATTATATCGTCATTAAAAATTAATGACATGCACGGGCAATACATCAGATGGTTAGGAAATTGTTCACAATAAAGAAAACCCCTACACGTATACGTCAGAAAGACTACTAATTCGTATAATTCGGTTAAACACTGATGAAAAAATTGAGGTACTGAATACATTATCTGTATAATTGTATTATGGACACAGAGCTCTCTGTGTAAGCTTTCTATTAATGTGAAATTACAAAAGACTTGTCAGAATTGTGTTTTGGGGATGGGGTCTGAACACCTCAATGTTCACAGATAACTTCCATCAAAATCAGCCACTCTGCTTCCTATTTATTGACATATGACAAATAAATAACATTCAAACTAGCTTTTATTTGTTTTATTTTTTACAGTACATAAACACAACTTAGTTCACAAACTCATACAATAAAATATTAGAGACTTCCTGAGAAAGAAAGAAGAAACTTCAAAATGGTTCTATTCTTCAAATTTGCATTTCTGAAAACAGATAAAACAATACCTGACATATAAAATTAAAAAGAAAACAAAAACAAAAACCCGTTTCGTTATCTGGATTTACATAATGGACAGTCTACATTATTGTAGCATTTAATGAGGTTGGCTTCCTATTCTATAACAAGAGTTGCTTCCCTTTTGCAAATCTGTTCTACTTTCATTTTCCAACTAAGACGCTGATAGAGACAGAGAGGTAGAAAGAAAATCTTGTTTTGACCTCAACAGAAGAGGATAAAGTCTTAGTCAAGGCAGAGACATAATTAACGTATGTCTTTGGTCAAAGATGAATTGATGAGGGATACGTCACATGGCAGCTGGCAATTAGTCGGCAAATTAGAGGTTCCTTCCTCAAAGGTTGCCACAATGCCTCAATCCATGGCTAACTAGAGAGTTGCTACATCAGCAACAAGCACAGTGTGTTACCACACTAATGATGAGATAACTCCCTGGGATGGGGAAAATTCATCATTATACAATCTCTACAGCATGGGACTACGGATCTTTACAGGAGTGTTCGGTCGAGAAATCTTCTGTGGTGTTCCAGCCCTGGAGACCGAGGCCACTGAGCAGCGCTCCGGAAGACTGTCTATTGCACAATCAACGGCTTCACTTATGTCCTCAAACAACTGAACGCCTTCACGACTGGCAAGGTCAATCAAGTAGGAGCGCCCTCTATTGTAGTCATCTGCTGCCGCTTTTGTTATCTGTACACAGATACAAACATAATATTAGTGCATGTCACTGACCTTGACCATAAAATGATAACAGAGACTATCTGACAATGGGAGATTATCATATTTACATGGATTTATACTAATAATACTACAGTTCACCTCACTGAATACTTTTATCAGTGAACTGATATTTCACAAAGAGAAATAACTGTTACCTTTTCGCCTCCAATGTAAGTGTCTGGCACCATTTTCTGAACACAAAGAACTACTTTGCATCCCTTTCCAATGTAATATCCAGCCTATTGTAATACAAAGAAGCCAATTAATTATCATATACTACAGTATACATTTTGTAATCCATTAAAATATTAAGTTTTTATATTGTTCTTAGTAAAGCAGACTGACCTCTATCATGGAGGAGAGAGACCTGGTTTTTCCGGTGATCACATACAGCAGAACTCGACATTTTTCACGATTCGCCACCTGCATTGGGATGAATTTATGCTTCCATTCTGCTCTTACATGAGGATTGGCATAGGACAAACCATACTTCCTAAAATGTTGAAAGACTTGATAAAAAAAGTTACTTTTTACTGATTTACCACGATTCCACATATAACTTTGCTCTTTTTTTAATATCCCTAGTTTGAATATGTCAGGACATATGTTTGTCCTTACCTGATGGTGGGAATGGCAATGTTGTCCCTCCATTCTGAGTCTCCACAGCTTCCACCCAGGTAAATGTCAAAGGTCGAGTCATACTCTTTGTTACAATCCATACCCAGGGCATGCTGGGACACACCTACGAGGATAAAAAAAAAAGTAGAGGAGATCATTACAAACTCAGATCTTAAATTTAGCTTTTAATTATTAAAGAAAGGAAAAAGAAGGGAGGGAATGTTTTGCTGCTTACTTGATGGTAACATATTTCTTGCTATGTCAATAACTCTCTTCCAGACAGACTTTTTTTGTGAGTGGTACTCGGCCAGGATACAACAGAATTCCTCAAAGCTATATGTTGTGTTGTCATTACAATGACCATATTTCTTAAGCCAGTTAACATCTAGATCAAATCCCATGCAGCTTTTATGAGCCAAACAAATCTGTTAAATGAAGGACATTGAATAAGTACGTTTTCTTCAGTATTAAAATGAGAAAGTCACAGTTTTCTACATTTTCATATCTAAGCAGAAGAAAAAGATCACTCACGTCTGACAGATTGAGTCTCCCATCAGTAGAAGTGTTCATGGAGTTAAAAGCCTCTCTAAGCTGACTGTAAGAAACCGAAATTAACTATTAACTTTTCTATTTTAAATTATCAATCTATAATCCACTGTTGTACAGTTATGTAACAACGTTGTGATATGTTAGTGTTTTTACTTACAGTAAAAGCTCTCCAACTTTAAGGAAGCCATATTTGGTTGGCACTGCCCCTTGTTCTTTACCGAGATCTGATACTGGGATATTCTAGTAAAACAAAAGAGAACAATAATAATTAAGCACTACTACTTTATAAGGCCAAGGCTATACATTTATCACATACATTTAGTTTGTTTATCGTTTTCTGACTTACTTTTTGTATGACATGTGCAGCACACCGTAGGGCTGTGTTGACATCCTTGAAGACTGGGAGGGCATTTCTTTCAATCAGATCAACCAGAATTTGTCGACCTCTTAATATGTCATCAAGCTCCCTATAAAACAGGGGAACGATTGTTAGAAATATGCATAAATTAAAGAAAGTGAAAGTCATTGCTGTTGTTAATCAATCTTCTATCAAATTTTCAAGAAAAATGACAAGCAGAAAAGATAAAATATCTGTGCTAAGCATAAATTTGAAAATTCCTTTTTGATTGAGAGCATCTGTCAAAATTTTCTTTGATTTCCAATGATAAATCATTAAATGAATTAATAGGTACCGGGGTAATTAAAATAATGATCGATTGCATAAAGTGTGATTTCCAAATACGTGAAAGTGTAAAATCTGGGACTGTATATTTCCAAAAATAAAAGGTACAAAAAATATTGGAATTTCAAATGTAAATATTAAGAACAACTACATGAACTTGAAAATCCAATAGAAATGATTGGTTTGTAAAGTAAAATATAATACAAAAGCATAAATTTTAATACAACTTTAGTCAAATCATGTACATGTAGTTAGAAGATAAATAAAATTGTGTTTTGGTTTTCACATATTGTAAAACTAACAGGAAACTAAAAATGTTTATATGTATAAACTGTGGTTTTTTTCCTATGAAGAAGCTTGACCTTGTGGTTATTATCCTTACTTTGCTGTGACTCTCTCCTGGTTGAAATAAACATCGGTAGAATTATAATCATCCATCACCGCTATCACCTGTCTGCCACGTGCTGATAAAATTAGAAACAAACCTCAAATTAACAACCTAAAAATCCTAAAACACCATGCAAAAAGTGCAATTCTTATCACACATGTATATCTGACCTAGAAAACAAGCATCTCATTTGTCAGCATTCTATACAGTCTAATTTCTCTTGCTTATTAACTTTACCATTAAACATTTTGCAGACCTTGCTAATATCTTGGCCAGGGCAAAAAAAAAAAATCAGGAGTTTTGGGGTAGTAATTGAAGTAGAATCTTGTATTTTTGTTTTATCCTTACCTGTTAAATAAGCTGTCTCAATCATAGAGGACACTGCTCGAGTTCTGTTATCAATCACAAACATCAAAAGATCTGCACTCTAAAAAACACCAAATTCCACAAACTTATACAATGCATTCACAGTTCAAATGTTTACAAGCGAAACAAGCACTTTACTGTCCTCTTAATCCATTATGCATTCGACCTTCGGGTCAACAAATATTTAATTTTATGACTCCTTGGTGGCAATAGGCATCAATCAGAATTTTTACACTCACTTCCTCATGATTTTTTGTCTACATTTGATTACTATTTAAACATCGACCATCATTAGTATGCCACTATTATTAAATTTATTTCCTTTAAAAGTACATGTATAAATGAATGGGAGAACTTTATGCATGGTTTTTTCCCTTGGTTATTAAAATCCTTTCATTTACAATGAAATTTAATATTTTAACTGAATTTTAATAATTAAACCATTGATAAATTCACTCAAAGAACTAAATACAATCCTTTATAATCATCTAATATTAATTAGATAAATTGTCATCATTCAAGGATTGGTTAATACTATCTAATTGAATTTAAAAAAATTATTTTCTAAAAATCAAATCTGGACCTATTTGCCATTTATCATGGTAAACATGTTTTTTTTATATGAACTACTGTCAAGTACGTTTAGCTTTTTCCCCAGTAACACCACTAATGTAAAAGTTATAAACTAATCATGCTCCATCTTGGTATGAAATAGTTTTAGGACAGAAGTCCTTATTTTGTTTCTTCACACGTCATGACCACAAATTTTTAACTAACCTCTTTAGCTTGTGCCTCCACTTCCATTAATTCAGGACGCCATGTCTGAACTTGCTGAAAAAACAAAACATTTGAATCAATAATTATAACGGGTGTATATTCTACATTTCAGCACTCTTCTTTTCAGAATTGTGGAGTAGAATGTCAAAAACAGGAAAATGATAATATATAGCTCCACTTATTTTAAAGAGTGATCATCAAAAAATTAAAGGTATAAACATTCAGGTTTTGAAATGTCACTGACGTAACTAAATATGCCACCTGTCAAACAATGGGATAATTCAGAAATTAGTGAAAGGTTACGTTCAGATAAATATACCAAAATAAATGACAACAAGGTCAAATTCCTCGTAAAACTTAGAGTACAGGTACTCTGATAATTATTCCCCTTTACATGACATTGCCTTAACAGAATTCCTTTGAAAACTAATTAGCAATTTAATAAGAGATTTTTTTCTACCAATAAACAACACTTGGAGATTTACTCCAAGATAAAATAAAATGGTACGTTTCCTTATTCTGTACATTAGTATTCCTTTCATTGCCTACAAATAGTGCTTGTTGGCTAGTGATTTACTACTGAAGTGATTGGAATGTGACAGCAAGATGTCTTCATAAAAGTAGTTTATAATTATAGAATGAACAAATATATTTTAACAAGCAAAAAAATTATGAGGTCAACAAAATTATATTTCAGACAATAATTCATTGACGAATACAAATTTTTTAAATAAATATATGCTCTAAAAATGCTAGATAAGCATATTATACACCCCCCTCTCTCTCTCTCTCAGGAAAAGAAACCTACTGGATTATAGAAAGTTATTCCTTTTTTCTTAAAGAATGGTATTGCTGCTTCCTGTCTCCATGTGGTGGGGTTACAGGAACCACCCAGAAACACTGAAACAAAGGGGAGGATCATAAAATTAAAAGTGCAACAAAGGGGAGGATCATAAAATTAACACTAAAACAAAGGGGAAGATCTTAAAATTTACACTAAGGAGGGGATCTTAAAATTAACACTGAAACTAAAATTCACACAAACAAATGGGAGGATCATAAAATTAACACTAATTAAAACAAAGGGAAGGATCATAAAATTCACACTGAAATAAAGGGGAAGGACCATAAAATTCACACTGAAATAAAGGAGAAGGATCATAAAATTAACACTGAAACAAAGGGGAGGATCATAAAACTAACACTGAAACAATAAAAGAGGAGAAATAGAAAATTATCACTGTAACAAAGAGGAGGATCAGAATTTTTTCTTCTTCTTTTTTTAAATTCTATTAATTTAATGCTTGTTTTCCTAAACAATTTTGCCATTGACATATTCTTCACTTATAATAAGGTTAACATTTTCAACTTTTTAAATAATTGAAATGACTTTTAAATCATCTAATCTAGTCAAATTAAGGGAGGTGGATTTTGAAATCTATAGCAGAAAACTGTGGAGTTAGCAGATTTTAGGTGTCTCACCTTTTCGCTTCCACTTTGAACATTCCATGGTGTCTTGACACTTTTCCTTGTAGAGGGACTTAGGGACTGGAGGCGAAAGCCTACAAATATATAGGCACCAGTTTAACATACTGCGGACAAACAAACTGTCTTATCTGTGTACACAGTCATTAATGCATCAACTTTGTCACAAATATGTCATGTCAATTTCACTCGCTGAACAAAGTTTACCCATAGTCCACAATGTTTATCTACTTCATATAAAACTTATGTAAGACTACTTTGATTAATTCTCTCTATCAACTTAATAAATTTATCATCTATGGTTTTTATCATGAAGTAGATAAACAACATTTCAAATTTTAATTTTATTTTGATTAGCTTTGTTATGAATCATCTTTAATAAAGATTTTGTAAACATGTTATTATTTCATCTGCGTTTAAAAAAAAAATAACAATATTTCAACCTCGTATTAAAATAATTATTGATGACATTTGTAAAACAGTTATTAATTTCTGGATAAATATTTTTTATTTAACCTATCAAACAAAAACAAAAAAAGAAAGAAAGAAATAAACAAAAAAATTTGAGACAGGGTCTAGTTTTTCATGAAGTTATGTATTTTAAAAAGGTTTTAAAAACTGCATCTTTATAAAATCATAAAAATTAAAAAAAACATTTTTTCTATAAATAAAAAAATAAATAAATAAAGGGGAAAAAAAGTAGTTTAAAAAAATTCCCAGAGTAAAATACTTACTGTCTCTTGATGTTAACCATTGTTATGTGACTGAAAATTTTCAGTTACTATTTCACTAGGATCATAAACTGTCGATTTATAAACAAGGTGGGTGAACGAGAGTTTTAGGTAATGTGACTCTGAGATCACAGAATGAAGATATATATAAACATATTTTGTAACACTTGGTTGATTCTTGATGTCATAGAGCGATGGCTTAAACCACATAAAAACGCAGCCTCCTCCTTGATTAATGATAAATTACGTCGACATGTGACAATTAATAAAGATATTTACAAGGGCAGGTACTTTATACTTTACGGAGAAGGTGAAAAATTATTTGGTTTTGAGATTTTACCCAAGAAACCCTTAGGGTTCATTCTTCAAAGTGAAAATTTTGGTGCATTTTTTAAATGCAATCTGTAGCATTTTGAAGCATTCAATCATATGGATCTTGCAAATTACATTTAACACTTTTCAAGTATATAGCAATGATTCTATGCATTTTCTTACTTTTCAAAATTTTATCACACTTTTCCAAAATGATTTTAAAAAACCTTATATAAAATTTTCTTAAGATTTTTTTTTTTTATAATGAACATTCAATAAGGTCTGAGTACCCACCTCCTGGTGTAATAATTCTGGAGTTCTGTCACTAGAATACAAAACTCTCCAAAGGTAATGTGGTCTGGTTCACAGGGACTGCCATACTCGACCGCGCACTGCACCATCTCATACACTGCAGAATAAAAGTCATAATAAAGCTACAAACACACACAGACCCTGGCTAAAAACAAAACAAATGGTTTCATCATACTTTATCTTGTACCTGCAGTCATGCCTGTCAGGTTAGATTTGCTGTACAAGCAACCCACCATAGTGATTTTATACTGAGAAAATGGGTCCTACACGAGATGTTTCAGCGTGATCACGTAAAGCTATGACAAGATAAGTAATTCTGAATTCCTGAATTCTTAATTAGACAAGCACCTGTCAAAAAACTTTTCAAATCCCCATAGGTAACTCTGTACTTATTTTTAGCCTCCAATCCTGCGATGGAGAAATTTTACATGGACTAAATTGACCAACAGTAAGTATTGAGATATTTAATAATGTATTATATAAATATATCATAATATTTATCTATATAAACAACTCATTAACCACATACTTGTTGTCGGCACTTAATTCATCATTCATTAATGAGAAAACTATGTTTCCCAATGGAAGAATTTGTGTTCATTGAATTAAAAAAAGAGTTATTTATATCTCAGATCAGCATACATCTGTTAATTTGCATTATTACGAAATATTGTGGAGCAATTTCATTCTTTTTTCAAAGGTATGAATTTTAATGAAAGAGCACTAGGCTTGTAATAACCCAAAGATTTTTGTTAGATAGAGACAAACCTTAAGGATTCTTCATAATGGACAGACTTAACACAAACCACAGATCAATTGTCAAATTGTACTGAAACTTAATGAGTGGTTAAAAACAAATCAGAATAAGATGCATGTGTGGGGTAAGAAAATCAGATCGCCACAAAAATAAAGATTTCACCTTAATCTACACCCAGCAAATCAGTATGAAATATAGATCTCTACTAAAATTTCTTTCGGTTTCTAGATTTCTAGAAAACTGCATAAACTTTACAATGGGACACGATTATAAATTAACCTCCAATCAAATGTTATTTCTTTTTATATGACCCATTCCTGTCCAAAGTTTATTAGGTTTTGATATAAATAAGACCCAGCTTTACCAATCAAAAGAGGCTTCTTTGTTTAATCGTTAATAGTTAACATAAAATTACACCGATGAATTCATTATCTCCACTCTAACTCATTATTATAACTAGAACTTCTCAGGCTTGTCATTGGTTCTTGTTTACTTCTTAAAATATGTTACATGTTACTTTCTATCATTAATAAACAATCTGTACTGAGTGGCCATGCAGCTATCAATCTGGAATATGGAAAATACGTACAAATTCATTTCTTCATTTATTTGCATATGGGGAACTATTTAAGCAAATTAATTTTATGCATTAGAGATATAAAATTCAATCCTCCAATTCTACTTATAAATACAACTGAAAACATACTTTTCAATGATATCAAATAAAAACAATACTTACTGTGAGAGAGAGAGCAATTCTTATACATAGCTCTTTTATACACAGCTCTCTCTCTCTCTCTCTCTGTATATATATAGAATTTACGTTTCTATTTAAATTTTATATTTATACTTTAATTGATAAATATATGAAGGCCTCTCTTTCAATTCTCATGATTTATGACTGTAAATGAATTGGAATCATCATGTTTATAATGTGCATGTTAGATAATATACTTTTGGAGTAAATAAATAACTGTCAATTAAAAAAAAGCATTAATACAAATAAATCTGTTTTATATCTATATTTACTAGTTTTCTTTTTTCAATGACGATTTGTCAATAATAGTTCAGCTATGAGTATATAATAACACAGTACTATGACCCAACATTGACTTGTCAGATCGGCATTTTGGGGTTTGGGTAATGGGCGGTTGTAAGGTGCTCCGACCTCTCCTGACTTGTGTTGACCTCTGACCTTCCAGGTTAATCACTCTCTCACCAACCTTCACACTATTTATTATTCTCACCTACAATAAAATACTAATGAAGACAACCTACACTGTCATAAATCTATCAACACCTCACCAGTATTTGAATTGCAGATTTTCGCTTCTAATACACAGGTACATGTACAAGATCTGAAGAGCAACCTTATACAGCAATCTCGGGAATTTTATTTTAACAAAGTATTTGAAACTTAATGTAACTTTCAGAAGGGCCATTTCAAATTAACCATGTTAATGGTGAAATTATGAGGGTTTTTTATTGACTTACAAAGTGTTAATAAAACATGGCATGGATTTATGAAGGTAATAAAGTAATGGATAAGTCAGAATGGATCGAATTAAAGCACTGTAGACTTTTCAATGGAAACAAGAGGACAGTATTCAAAGTTAAATACAATTATCCACACAACTACTTCCCATGTAATCTACTTTAAAAATACATCTACATTGAGTTCAAATTTACAATTATTTGTAAATATAATTTTTCTTTCATGAAAAATGAGAGAGAGACTCAGATACAAAAATTTCCTCAGGTAAAAAAGGAATAACAAAGGTTTTAAGAGCCCTTTATACACTGCACACTAGAGAGTTCTGATTTTGTGGTATTTTTATGCAGATAGAGTGATCTGCCCTTTGATCAAGAATAAAATAAATTGAAATGTACCGTTTATTACTTCATTTGTGATAAAATCAAGCTTTGAAGTTTCATAACACTTTAATAGGCCAAGAGGCTTCATTTGAACACTTCATTTGCAGGTATTTTGCCCATTTCAGTAAACAACAGTGATTTACATGTATGTTCATCAGTACTTCATCGTTTTTGAACATTTTTCCTTGGGGTAAATGCAAGGTACCCTATGTTGAAAATGTGACAGATAAGCTCAATACTTACACCTTTACACACTTTAATTTTCTCAATGTCCAAAAACTATTTGCCTTTCGTGCATAGAGGGTCCTCATTACCTTGTGAGTTGGAAGGGTACAGATTAATGCTGTTAAACACATCTCGGATTAGATGGATTGGTAGTCTTTCATTGCCGTCTTGAAATTTGTTGAAAACACGTAAGAGGTCCCTACAATAAATTAAGATCCATAAAGAAATTCATCATTTGTCTGTATATTTATCACAGTTAAATCAATCTACTGTTGAGCTACAACAGGCACTGTCAAGTATGTTAACCTAAAACATCCAATAAACACTGTTTTTTATGCATGTTAACCACATGAGAATTATAAGATCAAAGAAATGAATATCAGATTACAAAAAAGGACACCTAAATGTCAAACAAAGTTTTGCGGATAATTAATGACCATCGCCTTTATTTGCAATTGTTAATGTAGCTATTGGTTAGGAGTATTTTTATTTCTTCATAAAAAGCACCAATGATGTTGAATTTACCTTATACAGATTACATTAGAACAAGCCAGTCATCTGTTATCTAGATATGCAGGGCACAGTTTTGCAGTACAGTACTTAAACCCACAAACTTGTTATATGTTTTAAGATTCTCACAATCCCTTGACTCAGACAAGACCAAACAAATATATTTCAAAAAAATCTAACCTGTTCTTTGCAGACATGGATAAGCTAAATCTTGTATGTCTACTGTTCAAACTCCTAATGGTTATGCTTTCTAAATTTCAAATATTACATCATCAAATATCCAGATTTGGCCACCAATATTTACTAACACACTGTATTTGTTCAACCACGTATTTCTTATGCCATATTAGGAATTTGTTTTCAAGTTATTTATTAATGAATAAAGAACCTGTTGTATATCCCCTGTTCTTAAACTGTGCCCGTTTGTCTCTCGCATGTGTTGAAAGGCTTTATATCATTTTTTTAAAACTCCAATTATATGTTGAACTCGTGTAATTTTGACCCATAATTACATAAATAAGCGAAAAAGGGACAATGACACCAAGGGGTTCCAAGCCTGTATTTCAGTAGCATAGTACAACCATCAACCCAAACATTTACAATATACAAGTAAGAATACTCCAATGGCCGCATACCTGTAAATACCTTAATTTTTCGGTGCATATACCTGCAACAGTATACATATCATTTTAATTTACTGCAAATATGGAATACATAATTTTAGATCTTGGTGAGTAATTAGGTTCTTGAGAGAGAAAACAAAAGTAATTAGTCACAAAAACCACAATCTTCAATTACACCGCAAAGACTTGAAAAAAAATTGCGATGCAGTCAACTGTTTCTTCACAGTAGGCTTAAGATTTATATATCAAAACTATTTTAAAGGTGATAACTAACCTGGTGGTTTTACCCCATACTCGATGTTTACCGTTGCATTTCTCAGCATTTTCTCGCTCGTCCTCAGAAAAGATGCTGAGCACAAATGCAACCAAACTGGACATAACCCTCCTTCCCTTCGCAACTCTACTTTCACTTTTGAAAGACTTATTAACTCGTCCTCTCATTAATTCGTTTATAGATTGGATTGTGATCAGTATTTACACCGTATATAAAGCACAAATTAATGTAATGACAGCTAAATTGCAATTAAGAACAGATGATACAAAAACAATGAAAATAACAAATAAAGTCATGTTTATTTAAGTAAAATGAACAACTTTAAGCATATGAACTTTAAAACAATATGAGCTGCATTTTTGAAAATTTTATTTTGCTGTCAAAATGTGCTGTTAAATGTGCTGATAAATCTGTATGTAATTTTATCCTTTATGATCAATTAGACTAAAATAAAGTTTGTTGTTTTTTTTTTCAGAAGAAAGATTCTGTACAATGGAATGTATAGTATTATATAAGAAATCTATATTGTACATGACGACAATAATTATGATAATGTAATTTTGCTTCAATCAAAGCTTATAAATAGTTCTCCCATCACAAATATGAACAGAAGAAGTTTATAAACGTTCTTTTTTTTTTTTTTTTTTTTTTTGGTCATTGAAATAAGTAATTACAATATTGCAACAAACATTTCCAACATCAAAGTTGCAGCTTAAATTGCTTTAATTTTTCAGTCATGAAATTTCGAAAATTCACAATAATGTACTAAGTACTAGTAATAAAAAATGCACAGATATATAAGGGATGATTGCAGAAAGGTATATAATTTATTAATTTTGAACATCATAGAAAGTGTACAATTTCTTATCAATTTAGGAATTCGGTATTTGCATCATTTGCATCCAAAATAGGTCCAAAAATATATATACCAAACCAGGCATCCATCTTTTTGTTTGTATCTTCTGTCCTTTACGAACTTTTTTTTAAGTTGAAAGTCAGCTTCAGTACATTATTAAACATGAATCCATTAAGATCTTGAAACCCTGCACATGTTACACGGAGGTTTATTAAAAGCTAAATACTTTGTCTTCAAGACTGATGCGCATGCATGTTGAATATTCAATATGATATTTTACTTGATTTATTTGTGCTATACTGTATTATACAACTGAACTTTTTAATCAAAGTCCCCGTTATATTTTTGTTTAAAAACAAACTACACAAATGCACACAAACATGTAGTGATGATTTTTGTTACAGTTTTATACAAGAAAAACAATAAATATGTCCTACCTACATTATTATTGTTGTTAAAAATTTACTTGTCCCACCCTAATGAATGCCTCAAAAGTACCTGTCCCGTTATACTTTGCATCAGTCTCACTCTTTTAATAAATATTGTCTGGTCCCTTAAGGTCATCTTATTTCTATCTGCAAATCTCGACCCATTCAGTAGTTGGTCTGCATATCTAGATGGAGCCCGGAAACACTCGGAATCTGTCGAACATTTAAATGAGAAAATTCTTGCTCACCTAAGTTCATGATGTAACATGTAGGTCACAAAGTTATTTAGACAATAAAATGCTTTATTATATTGTCAACAGTGAAATACTGTAATTTATTAACTGAATAAAAGTGATATTCTAACACAGTGTGAAAGGATATCAAAATGGTATTCTCACAGTGTTAGAAAATCAGAATTGCGGCAAAACTTGCAATTTTCCTTCCCTTCACGACGAGTGTTTTTAAAAAAAATCCCCGGCCTGTTATAAGATACAGTTAATGAGCCATCCTGACAGAGACCAATAGTTACACTGCCAAAGTTTTTCCAAATATGTCGTTAAAAATCCATGTTTTCAACGTTTTTTAATATCGCAATCACTTAGCTATGACGTCTCAACCGCTCAACTACATATGACGCAACAGCCTATGACACTGAGTTACGAAAAGACAGAGGCAAAGGGAAAATCTAAGAAAATGTAATAAACAGAAAATTCAATGTTTTGTAGATGAATATAAAATTTATTTCACTCGTGAGACAGGATTTTTTTTTATATTTTCAATCGTGTTTCGCACTCGTCAAAATATTAAAAAAGATCCTGTCCCACTCGTGAAATAAATTCTATATTCATCTACAAAACATTGAATATCTTCTGTTTCTTTGGTTGTTAGTGTAGGAATCAAATGCTTCAGCTGTTGCAGAAAATACATCAACCTACACAAAAAATACAAGCGATGTGAATACATTTCTACGGAAGCCCTGGAGGGACATTGACTTACTTCTTAGTGTTTTGATTTAGTTTTTATGACTTAATCGTTAATCCATGTTATTTTAAATTTATCACGCGTTTACTTAACCCATATACGTGTGAAGATGGAGGCTATGTGTAGTTTCAAAAAAGAAGAAAGTAATATTTTGCCTTTGAATTAGCAAGTAACGACAAGATAATAATGTAGTTATGTTTAAGTGTTCAATCATCATGCAGACTGGACGTTGCAAGTAAGAATTAAGTACTAACTATTAAGTAACAAAAAATAATAAATAAGAATTAACAAATAAAAATTAAGATATAACAACAAAGTTACAAGCTAGAACAGATAAGAATTTAGTAGTCACAACTATACAGGACGTTAAAGTACAATTAATCAATCAAAAATCACAGTTAAACTAGGACTAAACATATCATTTTAATAATAAACGTAAGCCAAGCTACACGTTCTCCATAGCTGCGTTACACTAAGTTATAACTGACGACAAATAAGTCACAACAAATAAGTTATAATAAATAAGTCATAACAAGTAAGCCAATGTCCCTCCAGGGCTTCCGTACATTTCTATGATTCAGCATATATCTTTTGATATTTGGCTAAATATCCACCAAAAATCTCATTAACATCTAAGTCAAAAAAAAATTATGACCAAAATGATGTTAAAAATAACAGGAGTGCAACACCTTTTTGTGACATTTTGAAAATCTGCTTTTTGAAGATCTGTGAACTAAATATACAATTATGGACTCCTTGATGGTGAATACCGGTATGGTTGGATATTCACCAGAAAAATATCAATATTGACCGAGGCGATTTTTGCTACGTCTTGATGTTGCCAAATCTTTATGAATTTATATGTACTTTGGTTTTAATTTAAATTTTAGTACAGTCAGAAGAGCAACAAAACTGTTTTATAATTATCAATGAACTTCATCTATAACACAATTACTCAATGTGTTTGGATTAAGAAGACTTTTGTAAGTTTATAGTTTTATTATAATAAAGTCACAGCAAAGGCAAAAACAATGGTACATAAAAAAAGTTCAATGGCTGTAGGTCTCGGAGCCAAATGGTGAAAGCTCACATAGTCAATGCATCACAGAGGTCCCAGAGCTGAGATCGTAAAAGCTCTCATAGTTTGTCTCGGAGCTAAGATGTCAAAAGCTCACATATTCAGTCTAGGAGCTAAAATGGTAAAAAGCTATTGATACCCAGTGCACACATCTTTTGTACAAGAAGCTGCATCATAGGGATCACGTATTAGGTAATAACAATCAGTAAGTTACAGTGTCACATTATTAACATTTAATATAGTCCACCCCTCACTGAAGCTCTGTCTCATTACCTTATAGGATACGGCAAATATCCTCTGTTTACATTAACATTGTGTATCTTGCACATTCTTCTGTTAATTAGAGGCTTGCAGCTTTGCACAAAGTCTGATTGGAAGTGTCAATGTTAGAGAACAAAACATCGTAAAAACTAATTGTCCGTCACATGAAGACGCTCACTTATTGTATCAATTCTCCCAGAGTTTGTAAACAAGTTCATAATTTAATAATTATATGAGGTTATTGTCCGTCGCTCTACACACTGATAGTATCGATTATAATTAATAACACAATATTCTAACATAAATAAATGCACTGTACAAATTAATATATTAATTAAGTTATAATTTATACGCTCATAGTGTTACACATCTATATTTTCCAAAAAAAAAAAATAAGTAAATAAATCTCAGAAAATGTTTTATACAATTTGTAGTTGAAATCATTATGTCTATCAACAAATTACAGGCAATTTATGACATTTTACAGTCAAATCAGAAAACAGTTTTCATCGTTTAATATATTTTTAACAACATATATTACATGGCAAAAAGTAATATTTCGAAGACAAGAAGATATGAAAAACTTCACGTAAATGATAAAAAATATCAAAACAACAAACTGCTTTACAAACTTTGAATGAGTTATTGTGTGTGATGATTTTTAAAAGAATGTTTGATAATTTTAAAAAAAAATCAGATGCCAGGAGTGCAACAAAATAAGGTAAAATAGTTTAGTATTTTTATGTAAGAAAATATTTAAAAAATATTTTTTTGAAGAATTGACTAAATGGAGAAATAAGTTATTTTGGGGTAATTTATCATATCATATTTCTTTCATATTAAAACTTTTCAAACTTAATGTAAAATAACAACCGAAAAGTCTTTTTTTTTTTCAAATATACAAGAAAAGAAACTCAATCAAGGTTTAGATCATTTATTTCCCTGACACAGATTTGAACAATGATTACTTTTAACTATGTATTTCAGAAAGTCTTTCAGGATGTGGTAGTATTTTCCTTTTTTCAAATGAAGTTCTACTGATAAAAATTCGGAAACTTTTAAAGCATTTGTATTTTTCTATTTTCACTTCAGAAATAATAACTGGAATGTACATACAGTATGATGTTATAATTGAAAAATATAATATGATAAATTGATTTTTTTTTTCTCACAAAATATTGAATTTGCCGGCCATCATTTTTGATTTCACCCAAATGTACAGTAACACACATTCAGTTTAGTACTACAGTGTATATGTGTCTACAATTTCAGCATTTCATATCAGCTTTATCTATGCACAGGTAATTGGGTCTTAATTTTTATCAATATGTGAAAAAGTATAAATAAGGAGCAGTGTTCATCCTGTAAACAATACGAACCATGAACATGGCAAAACATGGACCCCTGGAAACATCAGAGAGGGATCAGGTGCTTAAGAGGAGTAAACTACCCCTGTCGTCAGATCACACCCGTCATGATCCCTATGTATTGATCAGACAAACTA